CAGTGACGGCAATGAAAATTACAAAGAAGACATGATCAGATATAAAACTTTATGAAAGAATTCAAATGATTGTTGACTTACTGGTCAAAGATTCTGGAGGGCCAAACAGAGAAAAGAACCAAAGGTAACTAAGAAGTTTTATTCCTAGCCGGGCGTTGTGGCACATGCCTGTAATCCCAGCACTTGGGAGGCTGAGGCAGGATGATCTTTGAGAGTTCAAGACCAGCCTGGGCTACAAAGTGTGCTCAAGGCCAGCCTGAACTGCATAGCAAGACCCTGCCTCAAAAAGGAAAAAAAAAAAAAAAAATCAAAGTCAAGAGGAAGTGTTAATTTTGATACGAGGAAAAAATGGTTTGTTTCCAAGTAGGTGTCATTTGAGTGCTGATGGGAAAACCACATTGTCCATAAAAACAAATGAAAATGGGCTGAAACTGGTCGTGGTGGCACATGCCTATAATCCCAGCAGTCGGGAGGCTGAGGCAGGAGGATCACTGAGTTTGAGGCTATCCTGGGCTACATTATAAGCTCCAGGTCAGCCTGAACTGCATAGTGAGACCCTTTCTCAAAAGTAAATTAATTAATTAAAATGGATTAAACTTGAAAAAAGATGATGCTAAGTATTTAAATCTGTTAGGGACGTTTGGCTATTGGCTGAATCTCCTTTCTGTCCTTCTCCACCTGACATGTACCCATTATTATTGTTTTTACTATACAATGTTCATTGGATGGTAAAAGAAACAAGCGGGATAGGGGCTAAAACTTGCTTGAGACAAAGAACCGAAACACAATTACAAATCAGCTTGGGGCAGGATGGGTTTGGTTTGAGACAGCAGCTCTGGACACTCACCGTTCCAAGGGGGAGGCTTCCAATGGGCTGTTTCCTTAGTGGGGTACATGACAGGCCCCGCAAACTGCTGTGCCCATTCCACATCTGGCTGCCATTGCCGAGCACCTCTAGGAGTTAAAGACAGATCCTAGAGAAAGGGCCTGAACAATACTTGGTTCCTCAGTTCCCTTCACTCTCAAGGGATCCCAAGGAAGGATGTGTTGGATTCTTCAACGGCACGTTACTGACAATCAAAATAAACTGGAATTCTAGAGATTCCATTTCTACTAGTAACTCACTCGCGGACTTCACCCGTCACCTTTGTGCATGTGAAGACTGGGGATCCTACCTAGCTCCTTCATATTTTCATCATATTCTCATTCCCATCCGGTGAATATGAATGTGGGAAAAGTGTTTATATAAAGACCACCTAAGACTGCGACGAGAACGAGAATGAATGGGAGAATGCTGGCTCCTCCGCGGAGCTCTGGAAGAGGGGGGCAAGTAAATCACTACAGTTGAAAGGCAGAGTCTCCCCCGCCACTAATTTCACCTCCGGCAAAACGAGCTCAAAACCCTCTTCCCTTTCTCAGCCGCAGTGAGCGCCACAGCATTTTGGAACGTGACAAATCAGGCCTGGTGAGGGGGTCACAGACCTGGGTCATTCCTGTGGGGGGGGCTGTCACAGGGCCCACGGAGCGACCTCAGATTCGAGAAACTCTACCTTTGAGAAAAACCGCGTCGAGGGCTGCCCTCGGTCTCACCTGCTGGGCTGAATAGGCAGTAGGACCCCAGGCCCGGGCCTCAGCACTTGGGCCCCAACGCCTCGGAGGGCGCAAAGAGCCCTCATCGCCGCCATCTTACCCTGGCTGCAAACTGCGGGAAGGAGAACCGGGCGGAAGTGACTCCTGCGCACCTCCGTGTGCGCTTCTCGTATATCATCACAACGGGAACGCCATATTGGAAGTGGGCAGAGCCGTCAATCAGGAACTTAACTATTTCCGGGTTCTGCGCCTTGGCTTCGCTTACGCTTAAATTAACAGTGATTGCTGTGAT